TGTGTGTGTGTGTGTGTGTGTGTGTGTGTGTAGCGTTTCAGATTAGTCGGCAGGTCAAAGGTCATGAGGGAAGTGTTTTCTGTATGTGTGAGATGAGGAGCGGCACTTTGCTGACGGGAGGAGGAAAAGACCGAAAAATCATCCTGTGGGACCACGAACTGAGAGCAGACCGAGACATCGAGGTCACACGCACACAATTATTAGAATCTTTATTATTTATCTATTTACACTTTCAATGAATAATTTTGTTCAACGGAAATGAAAATGAAATAAATCTTTTTTTCTGATGATTAATTTTAAATGATAATACATTAATGATTAAATTGTAAATTCCCGGACTGAGGCCTGTTACCATAGCAACATTTCATGTGTGTTAGAAAAGCTCTGCTGTAAATGAAGATTAGTTTCATGTGCAAACATCTGTGTAAATGGAAAATGTATTTTTGTATAGAAGTTGTTCAGTGACAGTGTCAATGTGTCAGCAGGTCCCTGATCAGTATGGAACCATCAGAGCCGTGTCTGAGGGGAAGGGGGAAGAGTTTCTGGTCGGAACCTCTCGTAACTTCATCCTGAGAGGAACCTTCAACGACGGCTTCCTGGTCGAGGTTCAGGTGAGATCACATGTCAAATGTGTTCCGGACCCTGATGTCCCAAAAGAAGATTTTTTAAATCTTGTTCCCAAAAGATATTTACTTTCAGAAGACATTTGGGTTTTCATCACTCAGACGCTCACAGACACATTCGTACCATCTCATGGAGAAAACTCAGCCTTCAGGTTTTATCTTCACAATGTCACAGAGACACAGGATCGTCATGGAATCATTGGCTGAAGGGAAACATGTTTCGATCATAATGAGGAATCAACAAACCCTGAAAACCTAAAAACGCAACTTAGTGTCGTTTTCAGAGCATCGACCAGTCACGTCTTTACGACAGATATTTATCTTGTGTGGACAAAATATTCATCTTGTCAAGTCGTGGTGTGTTCAGGGTCACACAGACGAGCTGTGGGGTTTGGCGACCCACCCGTCCAGACAGATGTTCCTGACGTGCGCTCAGGACCGACTCGTCTGCCTCTGGAACTCCTTCGATCACGCTCTGCAGTGGAGCCGCACACTGGAGGTGGGCATGGACTTGATTGATTCTTGACAAATGATTGACAGGTGATTGACAGCTTTGCCTCTCGATCAGGAACACGGACACTGTGCAGACTTCCATCCCAGCGGAGCCGTGGTTGCTATCGGAACACACTCAGGAAAGTCAGTACAGATCATTTACGTGTACAGATCAATATTTTCCAGATCTCTGGTTCTTCTGGTTCTAACTCGTCTCATCCTGGGTCAGGTGGTACGTTCTGGATGCAGAGACCACAGATCTGGTGGCGATCCACACGGACGGGAACGAGCAACTGTCAGTGATGCGTTTTTCAGTGGGTAGGTACAGTATCCTGTTACCATCTCCACATCATGAAAGAAGTGAATTACATGTCCCAGAATGCCTCTCTTCACCTCTGCAGATGGAAGTCTGCTGGCTGTTGGATCTCACGACAACTTTATTTACCTCTACACCGTGTCCGAGAGAGGACGCAAGTACAGTCGCTACGGGAAGTGCACGGTAAGAGTTCGCTTGACCCTAGCTCTTAAATTCCACTGCCCTCGTGACCTTTACCCCCCCGACCCTAACCCTCGTGACCTTAAGCCCCCCGACCCTAACCCTCGTGACCTTTACCCCCCCTGACCCTAACCCTCATGACCCTAACCCTCATGACCTTTAGCCCCCTGACCCTCACGACCTGGACCCTAACCCTCGTGACCTTTAGCCCCCTGACCCTAACCCTCGTGACCTTTACCCCCCCTGACCCTAACCCTCGTGACCTTTACCCCCCCTGACCCTAACCCTCGTGACCTTTACCCCCCCTGACCCTAACCCTCACGACCTGGACCCTCGTGACCCTACTAGATTGTTCAGGGGTAAATCCAGGAGACATTTAGGAAACGTGGTGTCTGCTTTGAAAATGAACGTCTCGGCTTCAGGACACTTGACGACGCCACAGGATCCGTTTCTGTTTGACTTCATTCAAGATGTTAAAGATTAAAGATGATGACGTGTTCATGACGTGTTCATGACGTGTTCATGACGTGTTCATGACGTGTTCCGTCACAGGGACATTCCAGTTACATCACACATCTGGACTGGTCACCTGACAACAACCTCCTCATGTCCAACTCTGGAGACTACGAGATCCTCTACTGTGAGTACTCTGATACTAGTACTGTGAATAATCTAATACTAGTACTGACAGTACTCTGATACTAGTACTGTGAATAATCTAATACTAGTACTGAGAGTAGGGTTGTAAAATTCTGGGAATTTTCAAAGTTGGAAACTTTCTGTGGGAATTAACGCGAATAAATCTGAAATTTACAAATTTGGAGTTTGGCCCTCAACAGGGAACTTAAATATAGTTGGGGAAAATATATTGTAGCTAAAACAAGCAGATTTACTTCACGTACACTCCTCGATCACATGCACACAGCTTACTGCAGGGCTATTGAGGCCACACCCCCTACATGCACTGTGCATCCATCACATGCACATCTGATTATTGAAGTCAGTAAGTTTGGATAATATTATGGGGTAAATATATTTGAGCTATCATGGTATTGATGTTTCACTTGGAAACATTAAATAAAAATAGGTGCTGAATGTAAACTATTTTTCATTTCATTGACCATTTAAGAGGCTACTCAACATTTTGTTGTTCATTAAAGAAATTAAACTAAAGTTCTACTCAAACAAATCTGTTGAAATGTTTTTTAATTGTATTATTTTGCATGGATGTCTGCTTATGACAAAACAAAAATATTTACATTTATATTTGGATATGATCCAGCTTGTTTAAATTCCCATCAATTCCCAGAATTCTCATGGAAAGTTTCAAATTTGCAATATTTCCAAAATTCCCCACCTTAACTTCCCATGGAAAGTTTCCAGAAATTTACTGGAAATGTTCCGCTCCTTTGCAACTCTAACTGAGAGTACTCTGACACTAGTACTGAGAGTACTCTGACACTAGTACTGAGAGTACTCTGACACTAGTACTGAGAGTACTCTGACACTAGTACT